ACTACTCATAAGTTTGCTGAAAATCCAGGTGAGTCTCTCGAAAGACCAAATTGGTTTGCAAATGAGTGTAAATTCGCTAACCTCTTCTACGTCGTTTTGTGTGTGCAATCAATCCTAATGCAATCCTAGCAAGTGTGGATTCAATTCTGCTCTAATGAAAGTTGTTTTTGAAGTAAACTGATTAGAGACAGAGAGGAAAAAATAACGAATTACAAATACGCCAGTCGCACGCAAATTCAGAAATTACATATTCTAGAAAAAAATATCAATATGCAGGCAGAAATTCAAAGATTTATGAACAATTGCCATGGATTGAGAGACCTGAAGTAAAGTGGAGCAAAACCTTGTGTTGTCGACGCGTACACAGAATCTGGGTCTTGCAGGTTGAAGCTATCAGAAGGTCGTTGACGATCGTCCTAGGACGTCCGTCCACCTGTTGTCTCCATAAAATACGTGAAAATAATCTTCAGAATTAGCGAATATACACTCCTTTGCAAACTAAGTTGGTTTTTCGAGAGACTCACCTGGAACCCAGCTGAATCTCTCGTTTGTGATGTTCTCAGGCCTGAGAACATCCTGTACTTTTTCTAATCCTCGGCAGAGTCGTTATTTCCTGTGCGGTAACGGTGGTGTAGATCTCCATCGATCGACTACAAGTAAATGTTACCCGGTATCCAAGTGTTGAAAATTTTTCACGTTGCTTCTGAATAGGTGCTATGCTTTACTTGAAAGAGCGGTATGCACCCTGGGAAGAGAAACGGGGTGCACTTGTGACAATAAACGATTCAGTTAACCTGACTGTCACTGCCACCACAAACGTAGGGTCTTCCTTCAGTTTGCACTCGAACTCACACTTGATTTTATCCCTATCACCCGTGTCCATTAGGTACCATACGCAGAAGTGGCAGGAAAAACGCTGGTCTTTAACGTGTACGACTTTGATCGATTTTCAAAACACGATCAGATTGGTCAGATTCAAGTGCCCTTGGGCTCTGTCGATCTAGCTCGCGTCATTGAGGAATGGCGAGATCTGAGTCCACCGGATGATGATGAAAAGGTAAGTTCAATTTTTTACGACTAGAAATATTTGGTTGACTTGAGACCTCACAGAAGTCTTGAAGCTATTTCAGTAGTGTTGTCAGTAGGTTTGGCACAGTAGTAACAGACGGAAGAGAACAGTGGATAAAGTATTGACAATTGGTTCTAAGAACGAATCGGCCAGTAAACAGTATGAAGTACACAGGACTTATGGTCGACAATAGCTCACATCGGCGAGAGCAGAAGAAAAAGCAGTAAGGCAGTAAGGCTTCCCGGAGACAGTAGTGATGTATACAACTACAGATACAAAAAGTCAGACGGGGTAAAAGGTCAATACACTTGGGTAAGGGTATGGGACAGGCCGAAAATACTAGGAATAATAGATGAGTTTGGCGTTTCCAACCAGTAGCGTGATAAAGCAGCATGTGTAAAACCTAGAATACTCATTAAGGCTTCTTGAGAACAATACTAGGAGACTGCATCAGATAAGACGTAATAAGGGGCATTGATCTTATGTCGTGGAAGCTGTGGCCAACCGGAAAGCTTGGTGCATATTTTGGAATCCTGCTGGACCACGCATGACGCCAGATGTGCTCGTCATAATCGGGTTGCGAGGGGACTCGCGAAACGTCTCCGTCCACTGGGATACACTGTTTTTGAGGAGTTAGGAGCACCTACTTCGACGTCCTTCATCAAACCTGACCTAATCGCTGTTCGAGATCAACGAGCAACTGTAATAGATGTCAGCATAGTCTCGGATGGCTGCGGAGTGACAGTGCGGAATGAGAAGAAGCAGAAGTATGGTGCTGGTGAATATTCCCCCACCATCATCTCAGCCTGACGTGCAATCGGTTGTGATGTTGACTTTTTAGTTTACCAACCAATGATCATCTCTTATCGAGGGATCTGCTTTCTTTAGTCCGCCAGGGCTGTTATTGTACTGGGACTTCCTAAGGTCACAATCAGTGACTTGTGTTTGCTTGCCATTGTGGGCTCTCTGCGTACTTACGACACTTTTATGTGTGGCACATGGCGTTGAATGCCAAAATTTTTACATACGTTGGAATTCATCTCATATGACTGGAACTGCTGCGGACATGACTTCGAATGAGACGTTTCCCTCTTTTATCTCATATTCTTCTGTTACCCTTTCGCGTTCGTCGCTTGCATTCACTTTCTATGTTTGTGACCATGCTCTTCAAAAATAGATGACGATGGCAGACGGGTGTAGTAGACAACCTGTTGTGGATGCCATCCGAGGGTTCCATGTTCGGTTTCCGGCGAAGACGGCCAGGCAACCAAAATCTGGATACCAGCAAGGGAAAAACAAATAAAAGTTAAGTGGGAGCAAGAATGCGGAAGAAACAGGAAAAACGTCAATGTGATAAACAGGCATAGACCACGTCACTCGATACTAGTAAAAACAAATAGGGAAGATTATTACCGGTTATTGTTAATTCACAAAAGGGATCAGAAAACAATCGTTCAGCTGTAGAAACCTTTCAGTGGCTAGCCGCCACACCACCAGAAGGAAGCACGAGGGCTAGGATACTGCGAGATTACCCAAGCCTGAACAGGGGAAGTCGAGATGAAAATGTTGGGTTCGAACCACAGACCTTCCGGTCAGTAATTCGCGTTCTATCCACTGAGCCATCTCGGCTCGAGGGATCGACAGTATCTTGTCAACACCATCCTATCCATTCAAAAGAAAGCAAGTTGGAGGGATTTTTCTTATATTCAAAGCTGACCCTCCTGAAGGAACTGCCTTCTGAGTTTCATAGTGAATGGCATACTCAAACTAACTTCCTGAATCGGCCAAGGATGATTCCAACGCAAATAATACAAGCTAGCACGACTTCTCTCCAAGAATTTTCCAGGGTTTTGTCTGTCCAACCAAGTGACTTTTATTTGTCGAAATAAATTCATTTTCCTTCTGTCTCGTTCGCAAACAGATGAACCGGACATCCGGATCATTGGGCACTTACTCTTCATTGCTACTGCGTTTCGACACAACTTTATTCCTCTCAACATATCTTACTTAGAAAGGATAATTTTTGCAGCGAAAAACAATGGTTAGAAAGGCGCTGTCCACACCAGTGTGCAGACGGATTAACATCTTTGAGTTCAAGTTGAGCCTATTTTGACGAGAACGGTAAATGTTGCATTGTTGTTCGCTCGTTTGTTTACCGAGCTCGGCAATTTTGTTGCAAACGTTTCATCACCAACCGGCCGGATATCCTCAGTGCAGTCAGGCGAAATTTAAGATCTGGGTCCAAGATTTAGAACACAACAAAAGTTGTCAGTGCGGTTCATTTGATATCCGAATAGTTTGAAACTCATTCTCGTTACGCTTTGTTTTTGTTCCCCTACCTAGTCTCATGTGATATGGATGGCGGACATTCAGACACGCTCAGACACGTTTAGTTTTATTGCCGTTCAATTGTAACACCATTTCGGTGCCTAGCTGTCATGCCAACCGAAGAAATTATGGGGGCTGGGATACTGCCGGGTTGTCCAATCCTAGACAGGGGAAGTCAAGAGGCGGAGGTCGGATTCGAACCACAGACCTTCCGGTCAGTAAATTCGCGCTCCAACCACTGAGCCATCTCACCACGTGCACGTTTTCTGCGGTTTATAATATCCTACGTGTTTACACCACATTCGTCCTATGGTTGTAATTTTTGGCGTATATATGGGGCTCAAACACTGAAAGACCATAGAAACGCTTTAAAGGCTTACAAGAAATATGTGTTCATATATCCTTCACGGACCAGGCTTGCCAGAAAATAGATAAGTAATGGATGGACGAGCGAACTAAGGATTTGAAAGGTACAATAACGAGGCATTTGGAATTGGTCTAAAATGAAATGATGACACGGAGCTCAACAGGCTGCTTGTTCTATTTATTGTGGAGTACAATATGCTCTTGCCACAATGCTCTTGTTTGTTCATCCAGTCAGGTTCTGTAGGACATCTCACCTTCTATCACCGTCGATGAACCTTAGTAGCTCGCTTGATGGTTTTGTTGGACTGATGTGAAACCAATCCCAGGAGCCAGACTGTGTGAGTAAAGTCCTCCCAAACGCGCAGTTTATCATCCCTCCCTTGAGAAGTTTGTCTGATATCAGCTGAACCCCGTTTAGTTAGTTTGTGTAATTTAATCGAAAATAATTCAATGATACGTGAATGCTATTCACTATATTGACGTTTGAGACAGCCTTTGTGCAGCACAGTAAGTTGAATAATATATTAAACACCTTTCAAATTTGAAAATGATTGTCCAACCGCATATATAGTGTCCAGCCACAACGTAGGGTTCAAGCAAATCCGTGAGTCGAGTCTATCTGATGAGTCCCGAAACAGGTGTCGTCTTTGATGGACTTACTTAATTACTTATAAGTAGTGTCTCTCTATAAATGTAAATGTATTCTTGTCAGAACTCTGTCCGTCGTACGATCAACAGGGCTCTGTACTGCTTGTTTTACAGGAAAGTGTCTCTCTTAAATGTAAATGTATTCTTGTCAGAACTCTGTCCGTCGTACGATCAGCGAGGCTCTGTGCTCCTTGTTTTACAGGAAAACAGGTTGGGTGATATATGCTTCTCGCTGCGCTATGTACCAACGGCTGGCAAGCTCACTATCAACATTTTGGAAGCCAAAAATCTAAAGAAAATGGATGTCGGTGGATTATCAGGTGAGTATCTACTCAGTCTTCCAGATCGTTCGATCCCAGTGTTATAGAATCATGTAGAATTCTGCAAGAATGTCCCAAAGGCAATACTGAGTGATATGAGTAGAGTGATTATTCGTTTGGACGTCGCATACTCGCCAGTCTGCCATTTCTAGTCGAATTGGTGCATTGTGTGTAAGCCGCAAGTTCGAAGTCCAGTCCATTGTCGTTTACCACACCTGTTCACATATTGTTCTACAACCACCGCCTCGCTGAAAATGCTGAGTTGTTCATTTGAGGCACCGTGACTGATTTCATGTGAACGGTACACGTGTGACAAGCGTATATTAGTCTCGTCCGCCAGTCCACTTCGCAAATTGAATCCCTTCTACGATCACTCACGGCTTCACGTAGGAGGTCGCATCCGATGAGCTGCTTTACCTTTTGAGACTAAGCACCCTATTATACCAGTGATTGATCCACTTCGCAAATTGAATCCCTTGTACGATCACGGTGTACTTCACGTAGGAGGTCGCATCCGATGAGCTGCTTTACCTTTTGAGACTAAGCACCCTATTATACCAGTGATTGATCGGATGGCAGTTGATCTGTTCTCCGAGCTTGGTAATTGGCTCGCAAACGTTTCGTCCCCAGTCGAGGAGACATCGTCAGTGCGCAGTTGAATGGGTGCTTCCTCCGTGCCTAGCTGCGTTTATGTATCCTGTCATGTGATTGGCAGGTTGGTATTATTATCGTAGGACCAGCCGTGTATATTTTGCTGCGTTGTGGTCTGTACGCCTCTTATTCTATTGGTTTGTTGGATGGCTGTTCTGGGGTGTTCCGGGTCTGTTTGTAGTTGGTGTTCATTCCCGGTTTGTGTTTCGTTGTGGTCTTCCTTCCTTGATTCTGCTTGGTTGTGACGGTGTCTTCTATTTTTCGTAGTTTCCTTGCTTCAGCCTGATTGTTTGTTTCTTTTTTCTTCGTCCGCCTATGCAGGCAGTTTTCCGAATCTGTGCTGAAGCCCGATTAGTTTATTTAAAACTCTCCTATGATGAATGAAGTTTACTAACAGCCAGCCTACACATCCACTTTGAGTTTCTCCGTACCTTACAGCCTACACATTCACTTTGAGTTTGTCCGTACCCTACTAAGCACGGACGTGATTGAAAAGTTGGGGCATTGGGTTTAGCCTATTGATTAGTCTCGCATTTGGGGCACTGGTTTTTTTACTGCTCAACTTTTCGGCCACCTCGGACAACCTTCATCAGAAGCGAACCAATCAAAATTCATGTTCTCCTGTTCAAGTGATTTATGTTACTTGACTCCCAATAAAAATTGTCTGAGGTAACTGAAACGATGGGCTACAAAAACCCTGCCAGAAAATGCAGCATTATCAGCAAAGTTAAGTTGCGGCATGAAAGGTGTGTTTCCGGTTATAAGGATACGGGAAGACTGAAGATCTGGGTCTCATCTGGCATTTGGAGCCAGTCCAAGCTAAAGAACAGAAAATCGCTATAGAGTTGTACATCCATGTCGAAAACAAGGGTATTGCACATTGCTCTAAGCTCTGCGGAAAGCAGAATCCGCGACATTTTAGTTGCTAACTGCATTAATCAGCCAAAGGTGGTTGGCGGGGCACTTGGTGCGCTTTTAGATAGCACATGGCGCCACCACGCAGCCTTCCGTTATACAATAAACGGCAATGTGTGTTCACAAAAGTTCGGTGGTTCGAATCTCCCTAGAGATTTGTGAAATATGTATTGTTGATGTGTCCCGATAAGGACGAACTAGTTGCAATGTCCCTGCACTTTTAGCACTGATCACTTGCACTTTCAGGTTTCAAAAAAAGTACAGCGTTCTTCCTCTAGTGGGAGCACATGTCGGGGACACCTTACTTGGCATAGCCTTTCGCGATTATTCTTAGCGCCACATTTGAACTAAATCAACAGAGGTCACAAATACATGTGGTTTCACTGACTACAACGACATGAGGCATGAATACGATAAGCATCGATTTGAAAATAAGCTTTGATGTTTGTTTCAGCTAATGGTTAGTAAATACACAATATCCAGTCAGTAAAAATAAACTAGTAGAAATAAACTTCTAAATGCATTCAACGTAAGTATGTGTTCTTGTTCTGATGTCAACTCTAGTTCTTGGTTCTCCTTGGGTTTAAGGTGGTTGATGCCGTTCTTGGAGCTCACCCGGTAGGTGCAATCCCCGAGTTTCCGTCAACCTTATGTTCTACTTGAAACCAAATTGTACGAAATTAGAGAAATGCACTTATTTGCAAACAAATTTGGCTTTGCGAGAACCCAACTGAATCTCTCGTCACTACATTTATCTCGATATCTCGAGTGTCGTAGCGACT